AGAAAGAATTTAAACCGTTATTCCGAGCGTTCGAACTACGAAGGATCGATGTATAAACTTCTTTGAAAAAAAAAAAAAAAAGGAAAAAAGGAGAAAAAGTTAAAAAATATTAGAAAGAAATATGAGATTCGCTGAGGATGCTAAGAATTATTTGAGATACACTAACCAATAGGCTCTGCTATTATAGGCTGGATTATTCAGAAATATCCGGACACTTAGTTAGTAAAATAATAACAAATTAGCAGCTAAAACCAACGTTTATTATGTTTCTAGGGAATGAATGATGAATAATACTGTGTTAGTTGTTCGTTCAAAAATTGAACAGCAGAATATCAAAATTAAATGCGAGATGTATCTCGTTCTATCTATTCTTCAAAAACGATATTGTAACTAATAGGTGAAAGTGTTTTTACCTGTATTATTAATATTTAAGTAATTATTATGTTCTCATAAAATTAACAAATTTGTTTAAGAATTAAATAGCAGAATATTAAAATTAAATACGAGATACATACAGTTGTATATACTTTTCAAAAACGATGGCAAAGTGATATTTATTGTGTTCTTATAGAATTAACGATTGATTATCTATTTGTTTAAAAATTGGACAGCAGAATAGTAAAATTGAACAGATCACGAGATGTGTCGAAGTGATCTTTATTAGATATTTTGATCGACAGACTAATTGATGCAGCTAATAGCTAATAATTAGTTAATATGGTTAAAAATAATATTTATTTTGTAGTATCGACGAATGATGAGTATTAATTATTTATTTCAAAATTGAGCAGCAAGGTATTAAAATTAGATACGTGATTCGCTAGAATTCTTTAAATGTTACTCATTACAGAATGAGGATAGCATTTTTATGAGTTCAGAGGAATCCTTTTCTTCTTCTAGATAGACTTTATATTATATATTTCCATTACAAATTATGTTATTTGTAATGGAAATATATTTCTTATAATTCTAAAATATACATATCTCTATCTTGAATCTTTTATAAAATATTTTCTTGCAAGTCAAAGTTATTTCACTTATTTCAATCAAAGGTATTTCACTTATTTCATTCTTGCAGATCAGAATATTTACTTTATATATCACTGCGGATTTTTATGCAAATTCATATCTTTGTGAGAATAGTTTAAAAAATAAAATCTAGGCAAAGGTTTGTTTCATACGTTAAATACTATTATATTTTCGATATTTTAAATGTTTTTCGTGTATGTATGCGTTGTAATTGTGTTAAATTTTCTACAAATGCATAAATGTTCGCAGTCTAATTATTAGATATACATACCTATATTATATGTATATATATTACTATACTTATTTTCTTATACAAGATAACATAAACATTTATCGACTACTTATCAACATATAATGTTCACTTGTGATTCTAGAATTAAATTGTAATCTAATTAAAACTAACTAAATGTCTGGATACTTTTGAGTGATTTATGTACTTCCATCATCACCAAAAAAAAAAAAAAAATAGCAGTGCCATTTTTAACACTAATTTTGGGAAAAGAACTATAAACAAAGTACATACACTATAAACGAAGTATTTTTATTATACTTGAAACATCGCAACGAAGAGCAATGCCATCATTAATATTGATTTTCGAGAAGCATGCATGAGGAGTAGGTATAAAAGAAACTATTCTAGAAATTAAACGAATTGTAATGTAAGTGAGAAAATAATTTTCTTATATTATTTATATTAAAGAATATACAATACTGAACGTACAGAAATGTACTTTATGAATATAAATTGTTAACTGTTCCTTCGGACTGTTGATTGTTAATAAATTATTATACTCAGACCCGACTCAGTTGCTTAATACGCGAAATATGCGCGAATGTATATTATTAGACATTTAGTATATAATAAATTGAATAAAGTTTGAATCCACATGATCCAATGTTTTCTACAATCGATCAACATTCCATAGTTAATTGGTCAACACACCCTGATCCAATGTTTTCTGCAATCGACCAACATTCCATAGTTAATTGGTCAACACACCTTGATCCAATGTTTTACTATCTGTCATCTATTAACTATTAATCTGTGATTCGTGGACCACCAGGGATATTAATGTAACTGGGTGACAGAGAAAACAGGTCAGACTAGGCATATTTTATTTAAATAAATTATTTTAACTAATAGTTATTTTCAAACAATATCTATCATTACTTGTTTCAACGTACGTATTACATTAACGAGTTTAGTGTTACAAAATATACGCGCAAGGTAAGAATTTTATTATCGACGATAAATATTAAAAATAAAAATAATGTTCCAAGACCTTTGAGAACGAGATTGAGCGTGCAAAGTTAGCTACGCGCAGATTAAATACTGCTTTATCAAATAAAACTTTAACTACGTTTAAATAATATATTTACTTTAGATAGTAAATTCGATATTTAATTAAAAGAAATAAATAACAAGTATAAAATGTCAAAATATAAATAACCGTATTTGTGTAGTTAATTACTTTAATGTTTTCAACCAGATTCTAAGATTCGTTTTAATATTTAAAAAATCGAACGCTGGTTCATCTCTTTGGAATTTGAAGATTCCAATATTGAAAAAGGGATAAAGCAATAAAAATAAATTTTGAACGTAATAATGAAAACTGAATAAAACGCGAACATTAGAGAAACAATATGCGATTTTAATTGATTAAAATCTCTGCTTCGGATCATAGCATAGAGCTATAATTTGCGTTCAAAATCGCAGCACAACACGAATATAAGCGACTGAAGGAGTAGATTGTTCGCAATTTCAACATCGTGCAATTATGGAAATGTCTGCATACGTCTTTGAATAACAATATACGTGGGAGATAATGTATGCTTAATGGTACTTGCCATGAAAATTTATACAATATTTCTTGGAATCGCGCTACTTGGAAGAGATGCCAAGCTGAATGAATTCTCTCAAGCAAGAAATTTTTCAAATTTTAGAGATACTTCAACAATTAACTGCACTCTGCACCGTCAAACAATTAGAGACTGATGGTAATCTTGATCTTTTTTACACTACACAAAAATTTGTAAAGTACTATATCTTTTTTAATTATTAAAAAAAATATATATATACAGGATGTTTCGTAATTTGTGGGACCCACTTCGGGAGCTGATTGTACGCCTAAAAATAATGAGAAAAAGTCATATAAATAATACATGTCCTATCTGTCTTCGTTTGTGAGACGTAATGAATTTTCTGTTTTAATTACTTTTACAAAAGATGCTCGAAATGACCACCTTGCATTTGAAGACAAGCCTGCACGCG